CTCATTCGCTTTGTTTGCCTGCCTCAACAACAAACATCGAGAAGACATTTTTATGATTTTATTTTAACTGTACTCGTAAATTTAGCGATTAGTGAGTGGACGCCGTCTGCTCTTCTCTGTCCAGCGGTCTCTTCTTCTTGCTGATGTGCCTCTTCTTGGATACTACTACACCTCCTTCTTTCGGCTACCTTTTCCTTCGCGCCCGCGACCCCTTTATACTGCCACCAAGGTTCGATTCGCGTGCTTCACGCGCTCAACGCGGCACTCCATATACTATATATCGTGTTTTCATACCCTTTTAAGAGGGTAATATAAAAAAAGGATACAAAAGAAGCTTCAGAAATACATGTCAGTATAACCGCATTTAAATGAAAATTTGGTTAACACTTTTCCTAATATGTACTTTTTCTTAGCTTATAATTTTTATTGCATAATATCACTAAAATTAGTTGTAACAGTTATCTTACTAAATTGTTTCCGCCCTAAACAAATCAATTTGGTTTAGCTAAAAAATTAAACTTGAAGTACTTTATTTAAAAACGAAGGGTGATTGAAACGACGGTTTTCGATTCAAACCATTCGCTTTTGCTCCTTTAACTGCTGCACAAACAATGCGACTGCGGCACTCAGCAGACGAACAGACTAAGGGAGTTGGCGAACGAAAAGCAGGAGGAGGGGGCGGCTGAAGGGCCAGACGAAATACCGCCTTCTGGCCAAGAGAGCTCTACTCTTGTCTGGCCTGGTCCGCATCCCCCTGCCTCTCAGCACACTCCACCGACATCCACTTTGTGTCACTGACTGTCTGCTGATGTTTGCTTTTTGCAACATTGTTGCACAAGTTTATTTTTAGACACATTTCCATGATGTTCCGCTTTTTTTGTGTTGGCCTGCCAAGCTGACGCTGCACATTGGCCAATGGGCGTTGGATCAGTAGACTTCCAGACCCGAATCCTTGTGATTGAGGTTGCTACAAAAAAACCTCTCAGAATTGCCAAATTAACGTTAAGAATTTCTTTTGACTTTGACTTTGAATTGACTACGCTACAAATTTTCTTTAAAATGTCTATAATTAGCTTTAGAACCAGTTCTAAGCAAGCTTTAAAAGCCATAAAAGTACAAAGTATACGAAAACTGAAAATATTTTGGTATTGGCTAAAGTTATAAAATATATATACATAGGTGCTTAACAAAAATGCTAAATGGAAAATATCTAGCTCTTGTAGTAGAAGAAGTAAAGTGTTGCCCTTCTTTTCTTTTTGGAAACTATCCAATTAAAAAATTTTATCAAATTAAAGATATTAAGTTATGCGAGTTTTTTAAAACATCCTTTTTCTGAAAGCATAATAAGTTTAACCGAAACTAAACCCAATGTGCTTTGCCTGCATTTTAGTTCCCTTTTCTCGTCATTTTATCGCTGCTACTTCGCTGCCTTCTTATTTGTTGAGGTAATTAATTTTAGCGTTTCTTTTTTTGTTTTTTGTATTTTTGGAGGCCCATTGCCGCTGCTGCAAATTTATGTATTTATTAGCCTCCATGCATAGGCGGAGGCTTTAAATTTTAATGGTTTTTTAATTAGGCGGCGCTTTTGATGGTCCGTACCCTCCTTCCCCAACCTCCCCTGCCACACACCCCTTTCTTTCTCATTAGCAGCCCATTGGCATCAAACAGCTAAATACTAAACTACCAATACAATAAACAATGTATAACTCTGCATGCGCCACAGTGAAACATTTACAAGTCGACTTTACTTCCTAAAAACAGTAGTACATATATTAAGTTTATAAATGTATATATATATTATAAATGCGCACGAGCATAATTTGAGAAAACAGAATTATATGTTTCGAATCTTAAAGTTTTTATCCAAATATTTAATTAAGCTTTTATTTTTTATTTATAATGATAAATATTAAGGATCCTTGATTTTTGGAAGTTTTAGTGTAAACAATCGATTACTATTTACAACCACTACAACTGGAACTACGACCGCAGTTTTACAACTTTACAACCGCATGTGTAGTTTTTTATTGCAACCCATTTAGGCGACGTCACTGCTTCCGTTTTCTGCCTTTTCCTACTTCCCTTCCTCACTGCTTCCTTTTTGGCCGGTTTTACGATGTGCCTGCTAGTATTTTTTGGTAGTCACTGTACCACATTGCGCCGCAACAACAACAACTCCACCCAAGGGCCAACGACACCGACGTTTTCTGCACTCCACACACACATTCAAGCAAAGCACTCTTTCTCTGTTACACACACTTTTGGGGCAGACAGTGAGATAGTCATGCTCCTTCTTTTCCATTCATAAGCGACTGCGTTTTGCCGTTGTTGTTTTTGTTCCCCTGATGGCGCTTGGCGAAAAAAAAAATTATTTGGCGGCCTCGATCTGTGAGAAAAAATTGTTGTTATTTAATGTGTGCGCGGAGTAGTGGTTGCTCTTTTCCCTTTTTGCGCTTTTTTTGTTTTTGTTGAGACTGGTGCAGAGTTGCCGCCCTTATCACACAGAAACACACACACGCACAGGACAGCCTCCGGAGGTTCCTGCGAAAACTATGTACATACATATGTGTGTATATCGCGATTTTAACAAAACACGTCTATGCATTGGCGGCCCAATTTATATTGTTGGAAATTGATGGCTTTATAACTTTAAGAAAATGAAGGATGCTGATTTTTACAGATTGTTATACAATTTTTAAATTTTTTACGCAAAATATTCAGATACTTTTGCATCGCATAAACGCATTTTCCTACTTATCTTTTCCCTACCACCTCATCCTTATCCACCGCCCCCTTTTGTTCACCCATCCTTCTGTTTCTTATCGCAGACATGCGCTCTGTTTACGCTCTCTTTTTCTCTTTCTGTCGCCGCCTAACTGCGCTTGCACTTTGTTGTTGTTATTCGGCTTTTCGTCCTGTCTGCGTGTTTTTATACGCACTGCGCTTTAGCACGTCTATCCGCAAAGCAAAAAAACGTGTACTGAAGGGGGGAGAGAGCGAGAGCAAGCGACGCCGACGCTGTTCGCATCCCGCTTGCACTCGCAACGGGCCGTTATTAGATTTCAGTTTGTTTTCGTCCCCGTTCGCATTCGTTTTCACACATTGCGCTTCGCGTCATTTTTCGGGGTCAACGTCATCTCGAGGGTTGCCGCCTGGCGTTTTCTCTTTTTATATTTTGTTTTTGTTGTTTGTGCATGTCTCGTATTTTGTGTTTTATCTCTTGCGCTCTCCCACTTGCCTTTGCTCTCTCATTTGCTGCTGCAGCACATTTTTAATGCCGGCGACGCGCCTCTTGTTGTGTGTGTAAGTTTTTGTGTGTGCGTGTTGATTTGTTGTCTCGACCAAAATGAATTTTCGGCCAAATATGCGAATCGTAAGCAAAATAAAGCTGGCACTAAAGCCAACATAAATTTGTATTTATTATAACTTCTGGTTAAAAATGCAAAAACCAAAACTAAGACACAATGTAATTTTTATAGCTAAAAATTGGGGAAATAGTTAAGTTTTTTTTTTTATACCGACCGTAGTTGAATTATTTTTATATTAAAAATTTCATGTAAACAACAAACCTGAAATGATATCTTTCGTTTAAATTTCTGTAGTTTCAGTTAAATGTAAATTTATCATCCGAAAAATTACTCTGATATTTTTAATACATATGTATGTATATGTATTTTTAAAATTAAGTGTTAAATTCATTTTTTTTTTTTTTTAGTTTTTCTACTTCTATAAATTAAAAACTTGAAAACATCCACTGTTATGAAATTAAAATGCAGACAACCGAAATATTCAACTTCTAATTTATTTATTTATTTTAGCTTAAGTTCAGCAGTTTTCCATTTTTTTGCATTTCGCGTGCCGCACACAACACCCCACGTGACTTTTGGAGCGAGTGGGAAGGGGTGGAGGAGTGGTGGTAGAGCGAGAGAGAAGCTGCCTGTCTGGCCCCGTTTTATAGGGCAGAAGGGGAGCGGTGGGCGGAAAGCGCACTCAAGAGGGGCGTGACGGCAGCTTTTTGATGCTTGAACTGCGCTTGTTTTTCTTTCCTTTATTGTTGGATCTGGCGCAGACGGTTTTTATACCCATTAAGTTGTAAAGTAAAGTTGTTTTCAATAAATTTAAATAAATTTTTTTGCAACAAATACAATTAATTAATTTTTTATATTTTCTCTTTTAAAATAGTCGTTAATACATTAAATTAATTTTTTTTTATATTTTTGTAGATAACTTTTTTTGTTGCCCTGCTGTTGTTCTCAATGGTATTTGAAAGTCGATATTCCTTTCTTGTATTCTGTTTAACAAATTTTTTCCCATTTCGGTTACGCTGAGTCAGTTTTGTTCCTTATTTTTTGGTTGCACTTTATATATTTTAAATAGATACTGTATCTGTTGTTGTTGCTCTAACTAAAAAAGGCGTGGTCCCACGAGTGCCAAAAAAATATCTTTCTTTTTTTATGCTTCGCCATTCTTGCGGCGTTGATGTTGTAATAAAATGTTGATTGTTTGATAAAGTTTTCCTTACATTGTATTTTATACTATTTTTCCGCATGGGTGGGTATTTTATGTTTTTTACCTTAAATAATTTTATGATTTGGCGCAAAAGTGGAACGTTTACTGCTGTTGGTCTCTTTGTTTACGGGTGGGGCCTAATAGTTCTGCAAGAATTGTGAGAGTCGAGCATAAAATAATGGGCTTTCAGGTGGATTTAAGTTGCACGAATGCTAGTTTTTTCGTTTTAAGTGATTCTGTGGAATTTGTTAATTGGTTAATCGTTTCGCTGGGGTAATCTGTGAATGGAGCTGACTGTACTTTTTCGAAAGAGGGATTGAGATCGGATTTGTTCGCATATATAAATTACATTACATTCATTTAAAATGTACACAACAATAACTAAAATACTTCTTAAGTTTTTACCTACATTACAATTGTAATTAAATTAGGTCGGAAAACAACTAAATTCCTTTCTCATCATTCGCCTTTCTCTATTGCTCTCATTTCAGATCAGCGAAGTCTAAATGCATCATTGAGATCACGTGAAATGATCATTGAGTGCCTCGAAGGTGTGAAAGTAAAAATCAAGTGAAAAATGTGAGAAAAAATAAGGAATGCTATGTGACAACAACCACAAATACTTGCAAACAAATAAGATCAAGCGAGCAACAGCAGCGGCAACAACAACAACAAAAACAACAACAACGAGCAAATCAAGAAAAATGATAACCTAAATAAATCAAATTGCTAGTCAAAAAACAACAACAAAGCAACAAAACCCAGGGAACGAAGCCAGAGCAAGAGAGAGGAAAAGTAAGTTATAGAAGTGATCCGAATTCCGATCCCCAGTGCATTTTCTCCCCCTATCTCTACCTCTCTTCGCCACGTTTTTCCCCAAAATTAAAGTTTTTTTCGGGTTTTCTTTTTCCATCGAAGAAAGCTTTCGCCAAAGGCTGGAAGAAAGTGCAAAGACAGCAGTGGAGAAAAATATTATCAAAACGTGTTTAAAATTTATAACAATAAAGAAAAGCGACTTATTGATTGTTTTCCATAGAGGTAAGTCCTATCTCTTTATATTTCGTCAATAAATTCAATTACTGTAAAAAATTTTAATCAAGTAAACAATATTTTCTACAAATATTTGTAAAAACTTATATTTGAATTGAAAGAGACAGGATTTTGGTTTCGTTATACACAAAAAAATAACTAAGCAAATTTCTGACGGAAACTATAATACCATCTGCAAAGGTATAAAAATAATTTGGAATTTATTTTGAACGTCTTCCAAAACTCGAGTAAAATTTTTGGTAAATCCCGAACAAATTTGTTACTAAAAAATCACTGCAGTTCGGAATCTTTAAAGTCTTTAAAGTGTATCTCTGTCTGTTTGTCGACACATATAACTTTCGTTGTGCTTAATTTGTGTCACATTCCAATGAGGTTGAACAAGACGGAGACGTTTTGGAATTTTTCCTAAGAAATGTATGCTGATTTGATTGTCAATGAGAACATTTGTGAGCTAGAAGCGTGTTCCTCTGAGGAAAAGGGGAGTAGTTCTCCCGATTCCGGATATATCTTCCCCTGCTTCAATATTTCACTTTGGTATTTCCGCATGGCCCAGTTCCAAATAACTCGCTAACAATAAATATTGTGTAAATTCCGGATGGAGCGAAAAATACATCCGAAGAGGGGAAAATCGAGTGGAAAAGAGGGAGTTGGGTGGCAGAAGGTGGTGTTAAATGGCGGCTGATTCTAAATAATGTGTAACAAATGGCGCGTCTGTCGCAACAACAACTGCAATAATAATAACTTGGCAGCGGCGACAGCTCCAGCAACAAAAACTGCATCAGTGGAAAAAAAATGAGAAAAAAAAGGGGAGAAAGAGCTAAGAGAAAAAGCCCAGTCCCGGTTAGCGAATATTTAAATACCCTTAATGTCAGCAATAGATTATTTAATCAAATATTTAATTTGAAGTCTCATTTCGGCAGATTCTCGACCCAATGTTTTATATGTATCTCGATTAACGTACATATTTATTTTTCCATTGGTAAAGCTGTTTTAAAAGTTTAAAATGTTTTAGTTGCTCTTGCGAAAGTCAGTTATTTAAGATCTGCATAAGCAGCAATGCTTTTAAAATTGAGAAAAGCTTAGATGGAGGGGGAAATTTAAACTTATAATTGCAAAAAGTGTGTGCTAGTTTAAAAAGGTTTTAAAGTTTTTGTATACCCGCATTGTTAGTTGGGGATTCAAAGCAGTGTGGTATCTCTACCAGACGGGATCGGAGTGTAGCCCCGACTGGACCCAAAAGAGGGCGGAGGGAATGGGGGTAGAGGGGAGGGGAGGGTATGCAACCGACCGCATCAGCAGAAGTAGAAGTAGAAGTAGAAGTAGAAGTAGCAGCAGTCGCTCAATTGCACACTCACCGTCTGGGCATTTCCACAGTTTTGGAGCAGTCACACTCGCACACATGGGAACCACACTCTTGAGACGACGGTTGACGCCTTGAGAAGCGGGGGGAGGTGCGCCGCAAGGGGATCGGGCGGCTTGGGGCGGGGATCTATTAGTGTGCGGCACCATGTGGCATGCGGTATGCCATTGCAATTGCACAAACATTTCTATATTGCTCTAATGTATCTCTCCACGCCTCGTGGTTGTCGCTGTCTCATTGTATTTGTGGTTTTTTTTAGCGGTTGAATCGAGTCTGGCCGGAAATAGTTTCAATTGGAAAGGCAACCTGGCCGAAAGATCTGCTGCTCTGGTCACTGATAAAGCCATAAGTGGCCTCCATTCATGCCAGTGCGACTGAAAAGTTACAATGAACTCATTTGTGTTAAATGGAATGAACTCGAGAAATAGCTATTTAAATCTAAACGTCTAAATTATTTTAAAATTGGCTTTATATTTCAACAAAAATGTAATGAAATAAATATTTATAGGAAATTATATTTACTCATTAATGAATAAGTATAAAGAAATACTTATTTAAAATTAAAAGAAGCAATTGCTTTCTGTAGAACAATCATATATGGGAAATCCATTTCCTTTGTATTATAATGGTCTATTTCATAATAATATTAAAAAAAAGATTATTTTCTCTAATGGTACCTCATAAGTAGGTATATGTAATAGTTCTAAGGAACAAATTTACGAGTTCGTGTCTTGTCTAAAAACAAAATCGTTTAGCTTTTCCAGCCCTAAAAAACGTTTTGCATGCTTTCGTGATTAGCAGAAAATCACTCCCCAAGAGCTACTCGCCTTTGGGATCCCTTTATTATCAGTTTACGACTTTAGTACGCCTTCTTCTCCATTAAAGCGGGAATTATGTGTGGCAACTGATATTTTCCTAGGCTCCCGGGGGAAGCCTTTAATGAGGAGGGAGCACCAGCGGTTTCCCAGATCCATTCGCATTCGCACTGTTGCAGCTTCCTTTTTTCCTTGTTTTTTTTTTATATTTTCTTGCTTGGTTTTGTTTTGTTTGGGGATTTTAATGGCCAACTGGTTGCGGTTAGCACGTGTTGCCTGTCAGTCATCCATCCAGCCCATGTATTCAGTCAGTCAGTCAGTCTCCCAGACGATGATTGAGATAGCAGCAGACTGGTTCCCGTGAGGAGAACAAGAACAAGGGTCTATGAGGGGGGCGTCTCAGAGTCTCACAGTCTCGGGGACTCGGGACTCTTCTTTCCTTTTTTTTTTTTTTTTTGGGGCGTGCCCCTCGATTCGTACCGCTTTCCGAGTCCACAGACGCGCACATTCTGTCAGTTGCTCAATTAGACGCACTTCCGCTGCATTTCCCTTCTTTCTCAGTCGCTTTATTTCTATATTTATTTCCGTTTTGTGCGTGTGATTGATGACCGACTGCTGGGCAATGATGTAACCAGCATATAAAACGGAAATGAATTAAAATGAATATTAAGATTAGAGCAGTAGAAAGTTGTTTTGCTTTCAGCAAAATATTATCTTTGTTTTGCAAAATTGGAAAAAACATTTGCAAAACGACTATAACTAGTGAGTATGGAAAATATTATTCATGGGTTTGCAATCTTAGTGTTTCGTTATGTTAATAAAAATATTTTTCGGTGTAGATTTTATTTGTGTACCCACTGTGGTGTTCCTTTGATGCTCTTGTGTCCGGAGACAGTTAACATCCCGTACCATTTTCACTTCCCCCCGGAGACACTTTCCCTCCCCCTCCCACCGATTTCTTTCTCTTTTTCCTCAGTTGTTGTATCGAATAAACTAGTAGCAACAGCTGCAGCCGCAGACGACATCGAAATGCGAAGGGTGTAAAGTGGCGCTGCCACATTCCAATGTCTGTAGCTGTCTCTCTTCCTTTTTGTTGTCAAGAATGCCGGAGACGATGAAGAAGAAGAAGAAAACGCAGCAGCAATAATCGTGGCATCATCTCATCGAGACGACTCTCCATGTAAAAATCACGTTTCGAGTTATGTGAACGGCGCGTGAATGAGTCGAGGTCCAGAGTTCGAGCCGCGGTGAAAAGAGAGGGCCAGATGGCGGCAGAAAGAGATGGAAGAGCGGCTGTCTGCGAATGCGATCGAGCTGAAAATGCAGACTTAATTCGCCAAGAAAGAGAAACAGAGAGAGAATTTTCTTGATATGTCCCGGAATGTGGGCTTTCGTTTCCAGAATTAAATCCATTCTCCTGGAATTTCCTTTTTTTGTACTTAATTGAGCTCGTTGTTACCAAAACTTATTTCAATGTAAACTATGTTTCCAAAAAAAATTAAATATTTTAGTTACAAAGTTATATTACATACTTTATTTTCTTAGAGTTTTATTAATGCTTAATTCTGATTTTATGTCAAGTTCAGCTTAATGATTTAATTTTTTTCATATCTTTATCATCAAAAAAACCATTTATCAATCGCTTTTTTCTTATAAATCATAAAATTTATCTGCAAAATATTTTTTCCGTAAACCTATACAGTTCGGTTAATCATCATTAATTTAAATACCAAGATGCATTACTTGGAACCATATGATTGACGTTTAATCGAAATTAATAAAAAAAAAACAACTCATTTGAGAGCGATTGCTTGGCAATAAACACACACGGCAACCGTTGAATGTTTTGTACCCCTTGAAAAGTAATGAATGACGGATAATGCCATAAATAAGCATACTCCATCTGTCACTTAATTTATTTACTTTTTGTATAAACGTTCGGCAACCCCTTCAATGACAATTTGTTGCCGCCTTTCGCTGTCCCAACTCCTTTTCATTAAAACCAAGTTTAATGGCCATCAATTAATTCTCAACCAGCAGACAAAGGCGGGAAAGGGAAGGCACGAGTGTCAGACTTTATGTGTGTCATTAGGGTGCATTTTGAGTTATGCACCTAAAAATGAAAGAACACAGAACACAGAAACTACTGAAACAGGAGAAACTTATGGGTATAAAACATTTCCGCATTCCGCACTGGGGAGTCAGCGAAACAAACAAACAAAAAAAGAGACGGGCGCATGCGCAGCGGTTGCTCAGAATGAGACAGATAGGAGGGTTAGAGAGCGAGAGTGAGAGAGCGGCGAACGGAGAGCGGAGAGAGGGGGAGCGAAAGACCTCGACCCACACTCGTGTGGCGCCCATAAAAACGTCATCGTTGCACATAAAACCCGACAGCAAACAATGCAGCTCGCCATTTGGCCGCCGCCGTAATAGTTTTTTAATTGCTCATAAAAGTCGTCAAAGTTGTTCCCCGCTTACGTCCTTTTCTCTCCTCTATGGACATACATACGTACTCGTACATAAATATATATATTTACCGCAAACATAACCCGTACAAGGCAAGGTCTGTTGTCCGTTTGGGCCCATTAATCACTTGGAGTGGTGGAGGCTGTGGAAAATAACGCCACCAGGTAAAGCCAGAAAACCGTTAAGCGTATGCAACAAGATCGCCGCCGCCGCCTGTCTGCCTCCGAGATTTTAACGTATGCGCATATTCTCCAAGTCCCTCGCTTTTTTTTTCTTAATACATTCGACGGCCGTTTGTGCAGAGGAAGCGGCGAAACGATCTTGCTATTGACATTGACAACGTCATT